ACTTATATTATTAGCTTTAAACTTCTCAATATATATTTTAAAAGGAAAAACATTTTTCACCTGTATATTCTAAAGAAGAGCCTCATATTTGACCAGAATTAAGCAACTGAAAATTGTGACAACAAATGTGTAAGGAGTGTCAACATGCATGGAATTCAAAGCCACATTTAAAAGATAAGGCGTGGTTTGTGTTAAGATAAATGAATGAATAAATAACAAAATTAAACAAATAAATAAATAATAAATGAGTAAACCTCAGGCATTCCGCGGTCTTTTCATTGATCAAATTGTGACCTCTGATGCACCTATCACTGTATAAGGGGAGGAAGTGAATGAGGTGGGGATTTGACTTTTTCTTAAAACTTACCGCCAACAGCTTCCCTGCCCACGGGCAAATTATTCCGGTTAAATGCGCAAGAATTCAGTCTCCAAACCGGAACGAGGATCGTGGTCAAATATCTCAAGGTGGAAACAACAACAACAACAACAACAACAACAACAACAAAAACGGTGATAAGCACCCAATCCACCCACACTAATTCTGGATTCCACGCTGTGGATCCGGGATTCCAGTACTAGATTCCAAGATTCTGGATTCCACGCAGTGGATTCCGGATTCCGGGTGCTGGATATTAAATTTTTCGTCAGTGGAACTTGGATTCCAGAATCCAATCGTTAGCGAGATTCCATTCTTCTTGATCTGGATTCCGTTCCAGGTTCCAAAGCCCTGGATTTCGGATTCTTCAAGCAAAACTTTCTTGGATTTTGGAATCCAGATTATTTTACATTTAATCTAACGAATGGTGATAATAAGGAGACACTTTGGTTTGCTATTTTAAAATTTTTGGCGGATAGAAAATATAAAAAAAAAACTTGTAGGTAAACGTCTCCCTTGAAAATGCGCTGCATTTGAGGCACAGTACTGCGGGGGCTACTCCCCACGCGGGTTGTTTTGCACGAAACATTTCTAGAGCAAAAATGCTACTTTTTGAACGATTCAAAATGTTGTCTCGCTATCTAACTGGGCTTGCCATAGGCTGGCCAAGTTTATTAAAAAATACCGTCGATTTTTTCTCCGGGGGTGGGGGGGATCCCTACCAATTCGTGGTGGGAATTCTGTCGTTTCATTCTCTTAATCTTGACTGTAGACTCTATTTCAGATCAATATCTATAAGGCAAATGCAAGCAAGTACCGTTTAAAATTTAATTTGCTTTGTTAGTTTTAAGAACCAGAATATTGAGAAATGTACTGCTTCTGCTGCATGTTGACAGCGTTTTATGACCCGTAGAATGACAATAATTTCCGATTAGGTCTAATTAGTAACGTCATACTGTCATACTGTGGGGAAAATAACGCTTATTGGTTCCTGCTAAGAATGGCTAACTTGCTTACTTTTATTCATAATGTTGGAATTTGAAAAGTTACTATACAGCCCCGAATTAAAAGTGGTACTATTTTTCTTGTTACAAAAGTCTTTGAAAAGGGTACAATGTTCAAATGAGTTTAAAGGGGCGTCACGGCAGTCCAGTTCATTTTGTTTTGCCAATTACTCGCCCTCAATTGCTATGGAACTTAAAGTAAGCAAAGAAATTACATGTAAATGACAAAATCAGAGATCCGAGACAAACAAATGTCTCCTGAGCATTATTTTTAAAGTTGCAAGCAGCTGGGATCAACTTTGAAAAACTGTTAGGCTGAACAGTTTTCAAAAACCTTCATTTCAATCTCTCAATCTGTTTCAATCTTCTTCAGTTTTGCCCATCCGTGGCATCTGTTGTCTCTGTTATGTTATTTTAACCTTCCTTTAGAGTTTTAAGAGGGTTTTTTACGTTTCTCTTAATTTGACGGGCACTTTGTAATTTCCTAATTTGGCTGAATTTCGTGACAGCTCCTTTAAGTTAATAACTCTCGCATGGGATGCTGTGTCAAGCAATGGTCGACGACAATGTGGTGCCCGGACTGACTGTGCCTGGTGGCCTGTGTACAGACCTCCTCTCTCGGAAAAATTACATGATTAAACGAGACTTACCTATAAGTTGAAGTTTGATCGAGATTCTGTCTTGTCATCAGTCCGGAACAAAGGAGATAAAATCGCCTTCGCAAACCCAGTTAAAATCGCCTTCCGGCGATTAGGGACTTGTCAGAAATTAGTAGGGGGGGAGGGGGGGGGGGGGGGAAACAGAGGGAGGGTCACAACTTTTTGAGACTGCAGAAAAGGGAGGGGTTATGAAAAATGGGCCGTTAATAGGGGGAGGGTCATGCAAATATGTGTCCGTGATTATGTAGAGGTTCACCCACAAAAGAAAAAAAAGTTCTGTATTTTGTAAAAAAAACCTTGGAGAAATAGGAGAGTCGAGTGATCAGCTGTCAGAATCAGAGCCGGACTGTTATAAATGCTGTCATCTAAAATGTATGTATATGGCATTACAAAGAACAGATTAGAAATATATTTTGAGCTTGCATAATACTGACTCACCCTAATGTATTGCAACAACTACATTTTATCATTTATACAAAAGGGGGAGGGTCATGATATTTTAGGCCAAGGTCAAGGGGAGGGTTAGCAAATTTCACTCCCATTGCAGCGATGGGTCACCTCATTTCCCAACCCAAATTTAAAATTCCCACCCCCCCCTCCCCCCCTGCTAATTTCTGACAAGTCCCTTAATTTGGTTAGGATTCTTGGCCTGGTTCCCAAGCCTATCTGTTGCGTGCCGAAGTACACCGAGTGTTTTTGGTGTAGAGTGGGTTTCCCGCAACTCCAACCCGATACAACAGCATAATAACAGAAAAAAAAGTGTTGAAAGGCCATAGAAAAAGCGAAGAATTTGATCCTAAGTCAACGTGCCGCTGCATCGTCGTACAGTGTATATCTAAATCTAAATGTCTGATCTGCAAAGGGCAGTACACATGCAGCAGCCTATCTTCAGCTAAGCAGATGTAATAATCGTCTAGTGAATCATCGTTTCCCGGGGAAGTCAGAGACAGAGTCGAGACACTGGTAAGCAGATTGCTACCTTTTAGGGAAGAGATCTGGTAAAGCATTTTGCCAGAATTCATGAGAATTTAAGTCATAAAACTGAAGCATTTCCAAGCAGCAAGACCCCCCCCCCCCAGTTCCATTACCCCTCCCTGCTGGGTGATGTTATTGCAATCGAACCAAAAATTGTGGATGGTTTCATGATGAACGTCCTGTAACTTGTTAATTTCGATTCCGTGTACTGTTAATCACTGTAAGAGGATAAAGAAAGCTTGTTTTGTTTTATCATTCATGAGAGAGTTGACAACTTAGAAATGGACGGTGAGTACATGCCTGGGGTGGGGGCGGGGGGGGAGGTACACTCTGATATTGGCTATACGAGATGTGCCGATAGATAGGGTATGGTTTTTGTTCTCTCTGTTGTAAACAGGATATATAATTTTGCACAAGTCTGTCCTAATGGTAAACAGCATATTGCCTGCCAATTGAGTTGATTTGTTGAATTAAATGTATTTGTGCTCCAAGTATACAAAAGCAATGACTATAACGTGAATTTTCTTGATTGCAATTGTCAATTAATGACTTTAAAACATGACGGCATTCATTTTGTCCTTTGTCCTAAACAGGGTAATGAAATTGAGGTTGTTGTCCTAAACAAGGTATGAATGTTGGGATTTTGTTTTTTGTCCTGAAATTTAGGAAAGGGTCAGGCTTTTAAACTGTTATCTTGAATTTAATAAGCTTCCATGAGTTTCTGTATCCAAAAACTTTTTGATGTCTTATTTCCTTCTTTATTACCATACAGCTGTGAGGTAAGGGCCGGTGCCTACGGCAATACTGAACTTAAGAAATAAGAAAATGATGCCATCAAAAAATTCACACCGAATTTTACAAACATTTTGCTTGCCTGAATAGAAGAGCTACAAACATTTTATCTTGTAATGAAGCTGGCAAACTTTCAGTAAAATCTTAAATATTAATGAAAATATTATAAAGTTTTGGTTACACCTGATAGTCTACCTGATGCCAGTATTGCAAAACAATGCCTTTTACTTGTAAATCAACCAGCAAAGACTGGAAAATTGTCTTCATTGTTCTCCCTTAATGAAAAAGTCTGTAATATTCGTGTACGTGTAGAACCAACATTACAGCGGTTACCAATCACACACCCACTCGAAGGGTTTTAGTCAGTGGTTGATCGTGGTATTTACACTTTCTTCTCTCATAAATTCTGCAAAGACGTGCAAGAATATTCTAATCTGGATTCTACACTAAGCTAGTTCCGCAGCTTACAAACTTCATTTCAGGGTCCGAAATTGCGCTTTCCTGGTCGCCAATGCGACTAAAAATTTAGTCCTGGCGACCAGAATTTCATAGCTGGTCGCCAGCTGGCAACTTGTAAAGCTGGTTGTTATTGTGGACTTTAAAGTTCGGAGAAACTGATTAAGAATTGAAACCTCGAAGCTATTTGCCAACAAGTGTCTTCCTTTTTGTCCTGCTGATATTTTTTAATTGAAAGTGAAACAAATCTTCTTGTAATAATACCTCCAGGACAGCTACGATCAATACGAGTTGAACGTTTCCAAGCCGCCATGTTGTTTTCAGCTGAAATACGGTAAGTACGTTATGTACTTTGTGGACTGGTACGAGTAATGTGGCACAGTTGTGGCCTAGTACGAGCAACAAGGCGGCTTGACTCAAGTTTGACTCATGTTTATGTTTCGTGTTTCGTGGTAGTTATCGGAAGAAATAGAGTTTTGATATGATCAGTGCAGTCATGGGCAGACAGCTTTCTGTTCCTATGTTCTAGGTTAAATAGCTTTATATCTCCAAAAAGTAATTTGTGGAAAAATAAGACTTCACTTGTACACGAACGGTTGCTTTCTGGTATCGAGAGCGGAAGTAGTGCAATTTTTGAGCATAAAAACGCCCATACCATGTATTTTTTATTCGTGTTGAACTTTTATTTGAAAAAAAGGGAGGGGGAATTTTTGGCGACCACAATTTGCCCTCTGGCGACCAGAAATTTATACTTGATCGCCAGTTGGCGCCCCTATTAAAAAGTTAATTTCGGACCCTGCATTTTCACTCAATGTTCACTTTTCGAAGAAAGCCTCCATAATTATTCAGAGGAAAAATTTTTCTCTTCTTGGTTACACCTTATTTATTTCATTTCTTAAAACTTACCGCCAACAGCTTCCCTGCCCACGGGCAAATTATTCCGGTTAAATGCGCAAGAATTCAGTCTCCAAACCGGAACGAGGATCGTGGTCAAATATCTCAAGGTGGAAACAACAACAACAACAACAACAACAACAAAAACGGTGATAAGCACCCAATCCACCCACACTAATTCTGGATTCCACGCTGTGGATCCGGGATTCCAGTACTAGATTCCAAGATTCTGGATTCCACGCAGTGGATTCCGGATTCCGGGTGCTGGATATTAAATTTTTCGTCAGTGGAACTTGGATTCCAGAATCCAATCGTTAGCGAGATTCCATTCTTCTTGATCTGGATTCCGTTCCAGGTTCCAAAGCCCTGGATTTCGGATTCTTCAAGCAAAACTTTCTTGGATTTTGGAATCCAGATTATTTTACATTTAATCTAACGAATGGTGATAATAAGGAGACACTTTGGTTTGCTATTTTAAAATTTTTGGCGGATAGAAAATATAAAAAAAAAACTTGTAGGTAAACGTCTCCCTTGAAAATGCACTGCATTTGAGGCACAGTACTGCGGGCGCCCCTATTAAAAAGTTAATTTCGGACCCTGCATTTTCACTCAATGTTCACTTTTCGAAGAAAGCCTCCATAATTATTCAGAGGAAAAATTTTTCTCTTCTTGGTTACACCTTATTTATTTCATTTCTTTGAATTACTCCTTGGCAGTTTGCCCACAGCTCCCTTGTTCTCTTATGATGGAATATTACTTAAAAACGTTTTCTACAGAAAGTTTTTTCAGTTACCTCGATTAGCCTGCACAGACTGTTAAGGTTGTTTTAACAATGTTATCCTTTATGTCAATGAATTTGGAAACACCTCAGAAAAATTGTCATTCAGAATAATATTATTGTAAGTCTTCGCTGTCCAAGTGGAATGATGAGAGAGGCAGAGAACCTTCTCTGGTATAGTGCATCAAAATACCATGGAAACAGTTGATTGACGTCTGAGAGAAAAAACCTTTCAAGGGCACATTACTGCAGGCAGGGCTCTGTAATTAACTTGAAATTTCCCAATAAGGAAATTCTAATAAAATTACCTGCAAGTTGAAAAATTGCACTAACATTTAAATATCTGAAAAATATAACAATATTGTATGACACCAATCATGGTTGTGAAAGAAGCCATATTCCTCCACTGTATTCTTGTCCTGGGCTCCCACATTCTCAAAAGTTGGAGCTGAGATAAGTTTGAGAAAATGCCCATTTTGGCACTATGTTAATGAAAATATCATCAGTATCACTTCTGTAGTTCTAGTTAATTTAATTTGGTTATATATTTCATGCCAGTGACATTAACATTTTGGGCTTTATATCACTTAAAAGTAAGAATATTATGGTTCATAATACTAACCCTCTTATTATTAAGCTGTTACCCATCTGGGCCCTCTTAAATAAAACTGAAGTAAGGGTTTGAAAAATCTACACAGTTACAGCTTGGGTTTGCCTCTAAAAGGCATGCAGTTTAACACAAGATAGTAATTAGAAACTGTGTCAAATATTTGGAAGATGCTAAATGCCATTGAAGAGTTTTTTCTTTTCTCTCTCTTTCTTTTTTATCTATCTTAATTAATTTATTTGTTTATTTATTTTAATAGATTTTTTTTGATGACTTTTGTTATTGAAATTGAAACGGGCAGACATACATGACCGAAAACTCCAGAAAGTCTTTGAATTTGCCCATTCTGCCACTTAAATGAAGTTGAACATGAATTACACTTTCTCTTCAATTATAATCTTTACGATGGTCTTCGATCTAACTTTTACAGTAAAATTAGTAATAGATACCCCCTTTTTAATAATTTTGACAACAATGAAAAAACCCTCTTCATATTTAACAACATCGATCCTATATCTACAAACTTACAGCTGCTTATAAATAATACATACATATACATTCATGTATGGAATATAGACAAAAACTTGTTCTTTAATTAAAGCCTTTATTTTGATTTAAGATTTATGACATAAATAATGTAGGTAATACCATGTGCTCGCGTGGGGATACTGAAATAAAGTTGCTGCTGTTGTTGTATTGAGTGAATTGTCAGGTCAGCATAGCAGCATTAAGTTTGTCAGTTCAACAGGTTGCCTCCATAATGCCACACTAAGATATAAAAATTGGACCATATGCATAATATTATGTGTTGCTTGAAAACTTGAAATCCATTGCACATTTTCCCCATACATTTCACAAATAGCTGCAAGTTTTTCCTGTCAGTAATCCCAGATGATTCTTTATAGGTGCACAGTGCCGAATGACCATGTGCATATGCATCATTCAATGCAAAAACAAACCTTATAATCAACAAAACTCAGGGATACACGACAATCTTTTTTAATAACAAAATACAATACATGGAAAATAACAGTCACTAAAGGGTAATATCTAGTATACAAATGATACAACAAAGAAAAAGAACCAAAAAGAGAAAGAAAAAAACAACTAATTGCCTCTTTCGAACTATGTTATTTTTTTTTTCTATGTCATTAATTACTGAACTCTTTTTTTCCCCCAGACATGATGATTGCCTTGGCAATAGTAGTTGCAGTTGCTGGAATATTGTTTACCACACTCTGGATTAAGTTTTGTGGTAAGAAAGATAGCTTCCCGAAACACTATTCACATGATAATGGACGTCCTATTGATTCAACAGAGGAGATTTGGAGAATAGCTCATGACAGAAATGAAGATATTATTGCCAATGCTCTGGTGTTGAGATCCAAAAAACCAATAAAAGCAACTGACGTGAAAAATGCAATGAGACTGCTCACAAAGAGACACCCCATGCTACGCATGCACCTTAGAAAGAATCAAGATGGAGTTTACTGTTTTCAGAAAATGGACAAAGTTGATGTCGACATGAGGCAGCTGGATACTAAGGACTGGCAAAATGTTATGGAGGAAAGTTTGTTGGAGAAATTTGATTCAGAGAATGGTCCCCTTTGGAGGTTGACATTCTTGCCAAATGCTAGGTACAAACCAGCCACTGGAGGTGATGTCAAGGATATGACATCATACCCTAATGAGTGCATTTGTATATTTGGTTTCCATCATATAATAATAGATGGGCCATCGTTTGCTAGAATGTTTGCAGAGTTCATTAACTATGTAAACAAGTTAAGTAACAAGGAAGAACCCAAAGTATCTTCAATGGCATTGCTACCACCATTTTCTGTGTACATACATGAAGCTGTTAAGGGCAGATGGTACCATCACCTACTGGCAGCAGCTATGGACATTTTGAGCTTAATACCAGGCTTTCCTGCCTTTATGATGGTTGCAGTGGTAGGGATTAGTGGAAAAGGAAATGTCTTCACTAGAAAACATGGAGTTGAGGTGCAAAGAAATCCTCAAATTCAACCAAGAACCAAGATTATTCCTCTAGAGTTCTCAAAAGAGGAAACAACAGGCCTGTTAAAGAAGTGCAAAGAGCATCAAACAACAGTGCAAGGCGCAGTTCAGACAGCAGGTTGTGTTGCAATGACATCTCTGCTAGAGAAGAACGAGTGTGAAATAGAATGTGGAATAACAGTGAATGCTAGGCGATTCTTCAAGTCCACAGTGCCAAACGAGTATGCAGGGCCATTTGTAACCAGCATTCTGTGTAAAAACACTTTTGACACTTCACTTGAGCATGAAAAATTCTGGGAAAGGGCAAAGAGTGTCTCTGAAGATATCCATGGTAGGCTGAAGAAGAATGAGCACATGGAAATGGCCCTAATGTTTTACTGCATGGCTCCAGTGCTCAGTCAGTATTTTTGTAGGTCAGCTAAAAGGGACAATGAGCATGGTAACCGTTTCAGGCACCTGATGGTCTACACTAATCTAGGTTACTGTAAATTTCTGGATGGATCTCCAAATGATGATGTCATCCTACGAGCCAGCTTCGGCTGCACTGCTGAACACGAACGAGGAAGCATATTTGCTAATAATATTGCCACATTTAATGATCAACTGTTCTGGACAGTTGTATATTACAGCAACATAACAAGTGAAGCTACGGCCCAGAAATATGCTGATTTAGTCAAAGAAACTATTTTTAAGGCAGTTAAGGGTTAATTTACATTTGTTACCTCTGAGTAAATTCACTACAGCATTAAAAACACGCAAAAAATTTAAGAGCAATTTTCTGTAACAGTCAAGCAAAGTGGGAAATGAAAAACTTTGACACCCCCCCCCCCCCCCCCCCCCCCCCACTCCAGCCTCACAAAAAAACCATTTTCTGGTGTCTTTTTTCTCTATGTCTTTTTTGCTGCCATTGT